TAGATAGATAGATAGATAGATAGATGATAGATAGATGATAGATAGATAGATAGATAGATAGATAGATAGGTAGATGATAGATAATAAAATCCTTTGGAGCATTGTTCAACACGTTAGAAGGCCACATTCAGGGAACAGCAGGTGAAGGCGAAGGTACTTCTCAGTGAATCACTCACACCTGGAAGTGACTGTCTCTGTCTCCTAAACCAGAACACTCTTGGCAGTGAAATGGAACCTCCTGATTTTTCCCAAGTTCTTCCAGAGTCTTTTTCTTTGTTTTTTTAATTATCCCTATTTTCTCTTTTAAATTAAGTCTTACCTCAGCCTTTACACCCCCTGAACAGTGACATTTCAAGCCATAACAAAGTTTATTTTGTTCTATATTCTCACTTTGGAATTGAACCAAAGTGGATCCAAGCTCAGTGCTTCGGTGCCAAGTTGTAGCTTGTGGCCATGACTTATTGTTCCCAGCCGTGTGTGTGTGTGTGTGTGTGTGTGTGTGTGTGTGCGTGCGAGTGTGTGTGTGTGTGTGTGTGTGTGTTAATGAGATCAAGTAAGACAGCTTTGAGGGCTGAGTTTTCCACCTAAGCATTTAGGTGTTCTCTTCAGATAAAAAGTAAGTTTTTGGTAATCCATTTACAATTCATCCACCATGACTGAGAACATTGTTGGGACCGAGGTTAAAACCTGCTTCTTCAAAGAGAGAAGATGCCTGTGGTCATTTTCATCATCAGAACTCTGTGTTTTGATTCTTTGCCCTGGGATCCAAGGATTGTTGTGAATAAGTAGCATGAGGTTCTCAATTAGCAGTGTGTGAGTAATCACTCATAAGCAAATTAGGGAAATTAATGAAACAGCCACTAAGGAAAATCACTGCAAGGAACAATTAGCTTGGTGTTCTGGCCTGCCCGTTCTTTTCACAAGCCAACAGCTACATTCTTTATAAAATGTACTGTAAGTGTTTGCTGTTGATTCCTGCAATCTAAGCTCTCGGGAGGACAGTTCGTCCCCTAGCAAGAAGATAATAGCTAGCACAAACCAAGGCATAAGGAGCCAAACAAAATGTGATCCCATGCTGTGCCAAACCCACTGAACCTGATCTGATTAGACATTGCTGCATAGCCCAGTGGTCTCCATTCTCACAGACCTGTGTGTCAGGCTGCAGACATGTGTTGTCACCTATACCAGAGGCTCACGTTGCAGCATTGCAGTTGCAAGACTGCCTGCTTTCAATACGTGGTCAGAAAGAGTTAATGAGGGAGGCATAAGACAAAGGCCTGGGAAACGATAGTGTTTGTTAGTTGGTTGGTGTAGCGATCTTAATCATCTAGTCTGGGCTAGCATAAAAGCTATTGAAGATCAAGGCGAGATGACACTAGCCTGGAAAATCCCAGTAATCAGTAAGCTGAGGCCAGAATATCATGAGTTCAAGGCCAACCTGGGCTAGAGAGTAAGTGCAAGGCCAGTTTAAGATACAGAGCTGGGGCTTGGTATCAGGAACCACAGAACAGTAGAAAAAAATAAACTCCTAGAAGCATAGAGTGAGGGGTGGCAGGAAAGAAATCTCCCACTGTATAGAACATTAGTTGATCTGTGTTTGTTTGCTTTAAATGTTTTGTCAGCATCTTCACTGTGCAAGTTGATGAAGACAGAAGACATGTGCAAAATCTGTCAGCAGAACAACCCATTGAGGTGAAAAGGCTCTTTGTTGGGGGTGCTCCACCCGAGTTTCAGCCTTCCCCTCTCCGGAACATTCCTCCATTTGAAGGCTGTGTGTGGAATCTTGTTATTAACTCTGTGTAAGTGACTATCACTGCTGCTGTTTGTTTTTTAATCTGAGGGTCACCATTGCATCTACATTTTCTAAAACTGGTAGGGAAGAGGCCATGAAGACTGGAATTCTGTACTGGTGCTGTTAAAGCAGGGTCAGGATCTGATTTCATTATATGGGAGGAAAACAATTTTTTAAAAATTTACTGTAATTATATTTTTATTAGCCCGATGGACTTTGCACAGCCTGTATCCTTCAAAAATGCAGACATTGGCCGCTGTGTCCATCAGAAGCGTTGGGAAGATGAGGCAGGTGCTGTTCCAGCTGAAGTCATTATCCAGCCACAGCCAGTGCCTGGCCCTGCGTTTCCCACACCTGCCCCGGCTCAGACACATGTGAGTGTTTATATGAGCACTGCTTAGGAATCTTTACTCAGCATTTTGAGTTATTGTCAGGAGGGAAGGTGTTCAGGTATCTAGAGAAGTCATAATAGGAACCCAGGCTATACAGAAGTATTGAGTCACACGAGTGCCAGACATCTACCCTCCACCTGCTACCTGCCCTACTCCCACATGTTTTATTCATTAATGATGTGGATCAGAATTGTAGTTTTAGAACCTTCCTTCTTTGTGAAAATGTATTTTAGATGTTAGGTCATGCTTCAGATAACACACATTATCTATTTTAACTTGATTTCTTTCTTTCTTTTTGTGAGGAGTCTTTTTAGCGGTGACTAAAAGTCAAAAATTTGTTATTTTATGACATACATTTATTAAGAGCCCAATAAATGTAAGTTTGATATCATGGCTAGCCTAGAAGAAACAGAGAGAGAGAGAGAGAGAGAGAGAGAGAGAGAGAGAGAGAGAGAGAGGAGCAGCACTCACCTGCCTGCCACAGACGACCTACCTTTGAATTGTGCGGATAATATCCTCTCTAAATGTAATGTAATCCATTGCTAGTAAAGACACCTACCTTTGAGGATTATTATAAAGGTACAGGTTGCATATTGTCTATAAAACGCTATAAAATAACTCCTGACGCATGGTAATACTCCATTCTATTAATGCTTCTGGGTGAACTAGTTAGTTTGACCTTTCACAATTCGAGGGTGGGGACAAGTGCTAGGAGACATGAGATGCTTGTGAGTATTCTGCTTTTAAGTAATTTCAAATTCTGACATGAAATGCTTATTAGATCTCATTTCTTTTAAGTGATAAAATATAGTTTATTATCAGTTTCATAGAAAAGGTAATTAGTAAAGTAATGCACAGGTTAAAAATTTTAACTTAGGGCTGGAGAGATGGCTCAGCAGTTAAGAGCATTGACTGCTCTTGCAGAGGACCCGGGTTCAATACCCAGCACCCACATTGTGGCTATGAACCATCCTTAACGCCCAGTTCCAGTGTAATCCGAAGCCCTCTTCTGACTTCCTTGGCATTGTACAACACAGGTGCATTCACATACATGCAGGCAATATACTCATACACATAAAATAAAAATGATAAAATATTTTTTTCAATTTTTTAACTTAATGAGAAGCATTAGAATTCATGCTTATTAATAGGCATGATAGTACACGCCTTTAATCCCAGTACTTGGGAAGCAGAGGCAGGTGGAGCTCTATGAGTTCAAGGCCAACCTGGTCTACTTAGGAAGTTCAAGTTCAGCCAAGGTTATATAGTGAGACCTTGTTTCAAAAAACCAAAACAATAGATGTTTATTTTTGAAAAAATAATATAAATTAACTAGATATTAAAGGAGGAAATTAAAAGTTACCCAGTCATTTTAGATATATATCTGGCATTTATATTCCTAATATATTACAAAATATTTAACAGAAATGGATTCATATTCTGTTACCTCTTATGCTTTTAGAAAATCTTGGTTTTTTTTTTTTTTGTTTTTTTTTTGAGAAGAGACTTTTTTGGTTTGTGAGATAGTCTTTCTATATAGCTCAGATTGGCCTCCAGCCCTCTCCTCCTGCCTCAGCCTCCAATATGCTAGAGTCATATGCCATCATGCCCAGCTAAGAAATTTTAATGATGCTAGGCTTGGTTTTCTTTTCTGTTTGTAATAGTACTTATAGGAATGAGACTATCTGTGTTTGTGATTTGAGTTTGCAAATGAAGCCATCTTAAAAAGAACCTGAGAACACATGAGGGAGGAAGTCATTAGACTAGAAACTGAAGGGACTAATATTTATACCCTTCCCTTTGATTTCTGCCTTTCTGAATAGATGGATACCAGACTGTGACAGGGAGACCAAATTTCCCTACATTTAGGTTTATCATTATCTAAGAAATTAGTCCTAATTTCCTAACAGAAACATTTTAATGAATGAGTTTTCAGTGACAAAGCAATAAAATCTCAGCTCTAATCATTTTTAATTCTCAACATTTTTATATGATTTTAGATTTTTGAAAATAATTAATAATTAAGACTTACAAGTTAATTTTTGAGATGGGAACTGCTATCTATGAACCCCATATTTATTGATTCACAGAAACCTCTAATCTTCTGACCAATCTTTTTCTTCCTTATAGCCTTCACTCTGAACCTTGCCAGGAGCTTATAGTGAAAAGAAAGCATTCGCTATGCTCTCTAGGATAATTTTAAAGTATCCGAAGAAGGCTCTGTCCTGTGAAATGGATATGTCAATCCTGTAGCTAATATGTAGTCAGCCATCCTGGACTAGGAAGCATTTCCAGCATGCTACCTCATTTGATAGTGCTGGAGTCTAACATTCCCTCACACTTCTGTCTTAGTGTTTAGCCCATTTAGATCTGAAAATAAAACAATGCTGCATTCTAGATTTGTGCATATTTCTCACCCAAAATGACAGAGATGGGGTAGGTAAGTATCCAGGCATCTGGCATTTCTATATATATATAT